GTAAAGCCACGTTTATTTCTAATATTACTTCAGTATTCCTCAGCTCCCACATCTCCGCAGCGTTCTGTTATGACTTCCTGTGTGCTCATTCTCTAATGGAAACTCCACAGCCTGTTGTCCATTTGATCTTATTATTGCCTTCTGTTTTCTAATTATTATCTGGGGAAGCTCAGCCTTGGTGCACTCTTTGGGACTGGTGCTCAAACCTTTCTAGATTCTAAGCAGCATTGTGTGTGCTGCCAAGTGTCAGTCCCCCCCCCCCCACTTCCCTCCCTCTTTTCCTTCCTCCCTCCTTCTCTTCCTTCTTTCCACCCTTCCTTCCTCCCCCTCTCTCAATATATTCATCTCTTTTTGTCTCTCTGTCACCGTCTCTCTCTTGCTTTCCCTGTCATCTCTCATCTGCACACTTTCTGGTCATCCGTTGTGGCCATACATCCCGAAAGTGAGACCGGGAGACCATGATCACAAATGGGCAGAGGATGAGTGTGAACACACAAAGACATGTGTGTTCCCAGACCACAGGAGAAGCTATATGAGAATTCAGTCCCTGTTCGGCATTGGTCCCCTTTCTCTCTCTCTTATCATGGAACATAATTTGAGTTCACTATATATTTCAATTACATATACACATGTATATTAATATGTAATGCATAGAAGATGTATATGCATGTTTACTGTATCTGCAACAAGCTATTTGCAAATTCTCTGGGCTATGTGAATGTGTTCTATGACTGAAAAGTAAATGTGTGTGATTTTCCTGGAGAATCCCCTTTGAGGGTGCTGGGGAGGTTTTTTTTTAATGCAAATTCGACTTATGGGTAGAACTTGTGGATGCACCTCCATATTTTAACAGTAATTCTCCTTCTTTGTGTAATTAATCGAAAATTAGTTTCTGAAAGTAAAAATTGGGTCAGAAATGGAGATTATTAAAATGTACTGTTGCAAAAGCCTGACCCTACAAACCCCATTTATGCAACTGAGTTCCAGAATGCTTTGGAGTGGCTGATGACTCACGGATGCTTCTTCCTCTGGCTGGTTCAGTGTAGGCAAGAGGTTAGCCGATGAGGGGAAATTAAAACAATGTTGTACATTATATTGGTACCAGCCATGGAAAAGCCTATTTTGTATGCAAGGCAGCAATGCCGAGATATATGGAGAGCCCTAGGCTAAGTACAGAAGATAATTACATTTGGAGTTTTACTGAGTTAAGTCATTTACAGCTTCAAATAGTTGCAGAGAAAAATCAGCTCAAACACACTTAAACTTTTTGTTGTGACTTTTCAGGATAGAAAGGATTATTTTTTTTTCCAAAAAAGTAGTTATCATCTTATATGACAAACTACAATTTTGACAGAATACTTTTTCCTCATAAGTTATTTTCTTGAGCTCGTTAATATTTTGCATTCAGACAGCAAATATAAACATACTGGGAATGGTGAGATGTTTGTGCAGGCTTAGAGCATGCTTTAAAATCAGTCTTTGAAAGCATGTTTAACTTGAGCGTCTCTGTAGAGAAGGAGGAGGATTGACCCAATCTCCACTTTTATTTAAAACTCAGACCCGGCTAAAGTGGATTCCATCAGATAGAGACTTTTAACTCTTACTGCTTGCAGGTCTATATATTTATTGGTGGTAGTATTTTCGAAATGATGCATGTCTCTAGGTTGACTTATTTGCTATGAGATTAAATTCTTCTGGCAGGCATAAATAAGTTGTTGGAGTTGTAACCCAACCCAGGTAGGTCTTACGATTGTGGGCCACTGTTAATTACTAACTCTACCTTATCAGCTATTTCTCATTCTGCGTGGAAAAGGTCGGGAGAATGGGCAGAGCAAGCCTTTGGTCAGCCAGGCTGTTCTGCCCTGGCAGCTCCCAGGATGCTTTTCAGTGGGTGTGGCCTACGATTAGGAATGTGTACGAGGAATACTGAACTGTTTGTTTGCAGGTTTCATGCAGTCTGAGACCTCAGCCTTCAGCCTTGATCAAACCGAAGGCAGGTTTTTCAGGGGTTAATAGAAGACGAAGATGATCTGGCTAGAAGTCAGCGAAGTTGTGTGGCTACCTGGGATGCCATAGTGTTCTGATTGAGGGGCTGCTGTCAGGGAAAAGGAGCTTCATGGCTCTGCAGGTCCCCATTTATTCTCAGCTTAAGAGCCGATGTAACTGATGCCTGAAGCTTGTTCGGAGTTAGCAAACTGTAGGTATCAGGCATGACCTCATAGTCTGAGAAAGGCTGTAAGTGGTTAAGGGAAAAGAGAGAGAGATGTTTCACGAGAGGTGGAAACCGCATGAAACTCAGGTTTTATTGTTTGTACATTACGTTATACAGAGACACAGATAGGCCAAAGCCCATTTACTGATACTGTGTGATGGTTTGCACTCCACAGAAATAGAATCTGGTAACTGTACCAGAACCCCTATGGGCTACAAAGCTGAAAACATTTACTACATGGCTGTTACAGAAGTTTGCCAGACAGAGGGGTGAGAAATTTCACTGTATTAGTCACTTGTTTCACCCGGAGTCTAAAGTTCTGCCTTCCCCTCTATATGCCTCCTTAGCCATAGTTTGTAAAGCCTCCAGTCCCACATCAGTCAGGCCACCATTCCAGCAGTTTCCTAAAGCACGTGCTGGCCCACCTTTGCCTCTGGGGTACTGGCTCATTTATTCATCTCCTTACAGAAGGACATTTCTGGAGGCTCTATGAAGGATGGCAGTGGTTACAAGTGTATAAAGCTGCCCTCCTGTTTCTTATATTCTACAAGGAATATAAAATAGACGACAAGGGGAAGGCTAGACAATGGCTCAGCAGTTAAGAGCTCTTAATGGCTCTTGCAAAGGACCAGGATTCCCAGTACCCACGTGACGGCTCATAACTGTCTGTAACTCCAGTTGCAGGGGATTAGACACACTCTTTTAGCCTCTTCAGGCACCTGCACACTTGGTGCACATAGACTCACAGACCACACACACGTATACATCAATTATAAATAAACAAGTCTTCCAAAACTGTAGATGATCTGGGCATGGTGGTACACAGCTTTAATCCCAGCACTCAGGATGCAGAAGTTCAAAACCAGCCTGGTCTATATAGGGAGTTCCAGGCCAGCCAGGGCTACATGATAACACCCTGTCTCAAAACAAAACAAACAAACAAACAAAACAAGAGAAACCACCTCCTAGAAAACAAGCAGGACTGCCATTGGCTAGAAAGTTGACACAGGTTCTACACAGTAGCAGGACTTGACTGGAAAGAGGGTCCCAGTGCTAGAGAGGGAGAGAGAGCAGCTAAAGCCAGATGTCACCCATCAGTTACTCCTCAATCAGACAACCAGACAAAAGATGTCAATTGGTCCTAGTCTGTCTTGTTCTGGTGCTGCTAGGGATTGAATCCAGGGCTCTACAGATACTAATCAAGTGTTCTACCACCAAGCTGCATCCCCTACCTGAGTTTCTATGTTCAAACCCTCGCCCTGAGACTTCAGGGTAGATGGAAGAGAGTTTACATAGTAAGCCTAGCAACTTTGGGAGCTCTGGAGACACCAAGCAGTGTGACTAAAGTTAGAGTCCTTGTTGGCTTCCTGTTTTTTTTAGAGTTCAGAATTTCCATGTTTGTTTGTTTGGTTATTGCATATACCTATGTTGTAAATGTACTATTTTTTTTATTATGTTTGGTTTTGATTCAAGGGACAAGTTATCAGCTGGCCCTGAACTCAACAGTAGTCTGACTACCTCCACCTCTTGAGTATTGGGGTCACAAATGTGCCTGCCTCACAGCACTCAACCTGGGAATGTCCACTTTAATTTACTTAACTCCAAATTGTGATATCCATAGAACCAGAGGTAATGGGGGCAGGCAGGGGCATGCAGTGTAAGGATACTCAGGGGAGCCAGACTTGGACTCAGCCTCCCTGTTGCTGGTCCCCGTGCACACGATCTCCCCCTTTCAACCACAGCCTGGGGAGCACCCACTCTAGAAGAAATGTACTTCTGAGCACTAATCCCTTACACTTCTTTTCGTGTAAGGCATTTCTTTCCCAGTCCAGGGAATTCTTACGTGTCTTCGTTTCTCAAAATTTATTATAAAATTGCTAATTACTAAAGCATAAACTTAGGGAATATTTAAAGCACAATAGCACAGTTGTGTTCAAACAGTTAAAAGTTTGAACAATTTCCCCCCAAAATGATGCTGTATTAGACTCACACATCTCCCATAGCCTGCCATATAACTCTGGCTCTGTGTTGGGAGAGGTAGAGGCCACTCTGCCCGTTTCACGTGGGCTCCCACTGGATCTTAGCATGTGCATGTGCAATGGTTCCTTACCTCTAAATTAGAGGATAATAAAGACTATAAGACAGCTAGGAGCTTCCCTGTCTCTGTGTAGGTAAAATATGACTGGATTCACAAAGCCCACATTTTCACCAACATATCAGTTACAAAGTAAAGGAGATGTGTGTCTTGGAGTAAATGATGAATGTTTTCTTAGCAGGGAAGGACTGGTCAATTCCATTCCAAGTTTGCCCTTGAACTGGCCTCATTGAGAGGAAAGGAGAATAAAAAAGGTGTTGCAGTGGATGTTCTGAGATTCTGAACATTTCTTTCCTTGTCTCACTACTTAAAAGCCAGTTAGAATGTCTCAATGGAGTTATGAGGTCCAACCCCAGCTGTTACTTAGGAGCCAAGCATTGTGAACCCTAGGAAGGTCATGTGAGCAGATGTAGATGTGTCATGGCAAGAGAGGCATATACCACAGGGTTTTTTTGTTTTGTTTGTTTTTTAAGATCAAAAGGTACATTTTCGTTATTCCATCTGTTGAATGTTCTCTTTGGATGGATTTTTTGGGAATGATGTATAAAAAGGTGAGATAGAATTGCAGCGGTAAAAGTTACGGCCTTACACACGTCATGAAATACAGTCTTCCCTCTACCCTTCCTCTGCCAGGACCGAGGGACCCAGCTGCAGGAACTAGTAGTGTGTTAAAAGGATAGTTTACATGTCACA